TCCCCTCCAACCCAACACATGATTTGGTGATGCTATGAGGGCAGGCAGCGAGTGGATGGACAGAGCTCTGCGATGGGACGTGCTCTCCACTCAGATAATTTTCCTTTCCTCCCTTATTGCTGCGGTGAGTTACGGGGATCCCGTTACCACCCAGAGTAATTAAAGCCACGAACAGCCGCAGCGAACTCCTGCACGCCGGCTGGGCTCGCTGCTCAACACCGCAATCCCCCGACTAATCTCTTAATTAATCTCCACTTTCCCCGCCACAATTCCTTCCCAAACTTCAAATGCGGAGAAGAGAAACGTGGCGCATCCAGCCACGTTTGCTGGCCAGTGAAAACCATCAAGGGAAGGGAATTATCAATGCAACAAGGACAGGGCTCGACTCTGAGCATCCCTGGATGCAGCGTGGCTCTCCAGTGACTGCAGAGAGGGCAACGCGGCCCCGTGTCGCGATGTATCGTCATTTCTTGGTCCCTGGGCCTTGCACTTACCTTCCCTTCTCGCAGGACGTTCCTCAGCAGCGGGAGGTGCTCGGCGGTGAGGTCGCGGAGCGATTTGACGTCGCGGCGCTGAACAAGGGCTATCAGGTAGAGGTCATCCAGCTGCAGGGAGAGAGGCAGTGACCTAGGTGACCACGGGAAGACCGGGGAAACCTCCCGCCACCCACTCTTAATTTGGGGGAAACTGAGGCACGCAGCGGCCGAGGAGGCCGTGGGTCTGCCAGCGACCCCCGCGCGCGGCCTTTTCCGCAGAGCCAGCGCAGGGCTGATCTCTGCGCTCAGACGGGGATTTACAGTGAATCACCGCGGCCAAAGCTGCTTCCTAAGTGAAAAGCTTCCCGTAGTTCCATTGCACAAATCGCTTTCCAGCTCCATCAATCACTATTTCCAAGGCCTAATTGCTCACTGGACAATCCCAGCCTGGTAAAACACACTCGTTCAGGAGCAATCAGCCAGCCCCATAGGAAGCACTCACAGTTTAAGACGACAGAGGGCTGTGGAGCATTAAAAAATATAAAATAAATTCATTATCCCCATCTCAGTGGCTTGCTGACAACATAAACACAGCAAAGGAAAGGGTTTGGCTATTTGAGACCTGAAAAGGGCTGTGAGAAACCCATCGGGCTATTTGGAAACAGAGGCTGGTGCCAAAAGATGCTCTCAGGACCCCATCTCGGGGCTGAGCAGAGGAAAAAGGCAGCAGAGCAGGATCAGGGCGGGAGGAACAGCAAGCGCCTCTTTCTCCCTGGAACAACATCTGCGTGTTGCTGTTCGACACAAATACGCCCAAAAGTGAAGTCATCCCGGGCAGCGCTGCAGGCAACGCCTCGGGGCTCCTGCGGGTTTGAAACCAGCTCAAAAGCAGCGGAAAAAGAAAACCCCACACGAAAAGAATCATCTTCAAAAGATCCCGAACCGCTCCGAAGGAGCAGGAGGTTGAGCAGGAGCTGATCCAGCGCCCAGAAGGCTGTGAAAGCTGCACGAGGCAAATAAATCTTCCTCCCTGAAATAATTACAGGTGAGTTGGCAGGGCAAGGCGCTGCTGTTGAAGGAACTACAAGGAGCTCTGTCTGGCTTCCTAATTTAATTCAGTAAGTTAAATGGGCTGTTCAATGGGATGCACGAGAAGGAACCGGTGCTCGTGGGCAGGCCCAGGGCTGCCGGGATCGGCTCTGGCTCGGCAGCGCCCACAGCCAAGAGGAAATTCCTTGGCTCAAGGCAGAAGCCAAGAGCCCTTGCTGGGACGCTGGCTTGGCTGCCTGGGAACCAGAAGTGGAGAAGGTCCTGTTCTGCACGGGGAGACCTCCCCAAAACACACATCCTGCCATGGAAGTGCTCCCTGGCCGCACCAGCTGCAAGATGTGGACACAACGCGTTTCTAAAGAACAATAAAACACAATTGAATCAGAATTAACGAAGCCATCTCCAGTCCTGATTCGAGTTGTGAAGCTCAGTTGTGGCGAGCGAGGATTTACACCGAGGAGGAAGGAAAGGGACAGTGGTGCTGCACTTTTGGGATCCCGAAATATTGCCACCCTGGAAATAGAGGGCACTGGGTGCAAGCTCGCTCTACAGAGGGATAGGTAGGGATAGATAGGGATAGATAGGGATAGAGATGCTTTGCAAAGTCTCTCCAGGAAGAAGGCTGTGCCTCCCAGTGATTTTTGGAGCGGGTGATGTGCAATGAATTCCTGGTAACCAGCACCCAGCAGTGCCTTACTCACTTCCATCCCCGAATCATCCCCTCCCGCAGCTCAGCTCTGCGCCAGAAACAGGCGGTCCCAGCACAGAAATTCAGAATTTGGATGGCCACGAGAAGGCTCGCGTTCGTTATTTTCGGTTTTTAGTTCCCATGTGTGAGTTCTAATGAAAGGGAAACTTTCCCCACTTGCCATCCACAGCGGCAATTTGAGGAACAGAAACATAAGGGGGAGTTTTTGGACCTCACCAGAGTTTCATCTCCCCGGGACCATCCCCAGCATGAAAAGGATCCCAAATCTAAGGAAATAACGAGCCACTCAGTTGAGGATTACAGCCCGGGTTTAAAAAGCTCTCTGTGTTTCATGAGTGGCCGCCCCCACGAGGGGTTAAGCAGCTGCTCGTAAGCTAAGGACCATCTGTTCAATATTGTGCGCAGGAGAGTTCATTGCGGCAACCAGAGGACAATGCATCTGCCCGGTTTGGGCTTGGAAAATAAAACAAACCCAAAAAAACCCCAACGAACACGCAGCTGGATTTAGGCTCCAACACATCACGACAAGATTTGGGCTGAAACAGGAAAGAGAAAGCAAAGCTGATGAATAAATCAGCCAGCAGCGGTGAGAACCGCCTGTGCAGTGTCCACAATGGTAAAAGGCCCCAAAATATCATCACTTGATGACGACGGGGAGAGATTCTGGAGCGTGTTCAGAGCAGAGCCACAAGGATGGGGAGGGCTCTGGAGAACAAGCCTGATGAGGAGCGGCTGAGGGAACTGGGCTTGTTCAGCCTGGAGAAGAGAAGGCTGAGGGGAGACCTCATCACCACCTCCAACTGCCTCAAGGGAGCTTGTGGAGAGGTGGGTGCTGGGCTCTTCTCCCAGGTGATGGGGGATAGAACAAGGGGAAACGGCACCAAGCTGTGCCAAGGGAGGTTCAGGTCAGAGATAAGGAGGAAGTTCTTTCCTGAGAGGGTCGTCAGAAGCTGGCACAGGCTGCCCAGGGAGGTGGTGGAGTCACCATCCCTGGATGTGTTTAAAGAGCGGGTAGACGAGGTACTTAAGGATATGGTTTCGGGGGGAGACAGGAACGGTTGGACATGATGATCTCAGAGGGCTTTTCCAACCGAGCCATTCTGTGACGAACAGGAAGGACACGTTGCCCGACTAAAATTGCCATTAGTGGTGCACGAAGTGGAGGTTTCCTCTGGATTACTTTTGGGCAGCAGCATCCTTCAAAGATAAAGGGGAGCGAACGAACCTGGTTTTGATTCCACTTGAAATCTGGGACTAAAACAAAGCCGTCGTGTGGATCGGGGTTTTCATGGACGATTCGGTCGGCCTCAGCTTTCTTCTCCAGGATATTGTACACCCACTGGAAGAGAAACAGGCAACTTCACGCTACAGAGCCCCAGCTCCCTCAGCAGGAGATGCTCCACTCCCTCCAGCATCTTTGTGGCCCTGCTGGACTCTTTCAAGCAGTTCCTGTCCTCGAAATGAGGGGCCAGAACTTGTGACCCAAGGACAAGACCCGGCTGCCAGGCAAAGGCCAAAGTCCTGCGTTTTCTTGGGCAATGCTCAGCTTTTGGCTTCCTGATTAGGAAACAGCTCACCGCTCAGGGTCCTCTCTGTGCCTAAAGCTCCAGGGTCCTCGACATTGAAAACCTCAGCCCCCAGACCACCTGTAATCCCCACTCTGGTTATGCCCTGCACTCCTCCTTCAAAGCAAAGCATCATCCAGAGAGGAGTTTCAACCCCAAAACAGAGGAGAGCAGGGATAAGCGACAGGGTAAGAGGAGTGGAAGCATCTTTGCTTTTCCTGGTTACCAACCTGAGCTCAATCACCTTTACTTACGCCCCCAAAATGCACTTTATGCCCTGGCTTAAGAGCTCTGTACGCACCAAACACTTGAGATCAAGTCAGCCCTTCTGGGGAGCTCTGTCAGGAGTTTAATTAATCCCATCAAAACTTAGGCTCATTGGGAACTGACCTGAAGAGATCCCCAGGGAGAAACCAACCTCTCCTCCTTTTATCTGGGTTTTTTTTTTGCTTAAATTTCTGCTCTTTTCCCCCTAGCAACATCTTAGAGGAGATTCAATTCTCCGAGCGATTTTGGATCGTGGTGCTCTGCGACTCCTCGGCAGAAAAGCAGGGCAGAAAACTTGGCAGGAAATGAAAGTTTGCCCCTGTTTTTTGTTGGGAACGCCTGCTCTTTTCATAAGTGCCAAGCTATCGGTGTCCCAAACACGTCCAGCGATCAGATGAGCCGGATTTTCAAGTCTCATGTGATGGGCAGGCCAGCAGCTGACTGCTCTTGCTGTTTCCAGCCAGGACAACACATGTCCAGAGGCTTGGCACCACAATTAAGCCATTATATGAAAGCATCCCCGCTGTGCAGAAAACAGAGCCGCTTCTGTCGTCCCTCGATTACCCTTCACATTTCCCCTTCCACTCCTCCAAACCAGTTCAAACACCCAGAATTTGGGGTTTTTTCCCCTTTCTGCAGATGGGACAGAGCGCTCCTGACTCCTCTGCCTCCAATTTGGGCTTCGGAGGGGACATTTGTGATGTAGGAGGAGACCCAAAACGTCGGGAGGCAGCGGTGCCCGTACCTGGATGCTGAAGCTCTGGGACTGGATGAAGGGCAGCGTTATGGCCTCGTAATCCTCCCAGGTTTCGCGGATGAGGTGCACCTCTTGGCGCAGGTATTTCTGGAGGTGTTTCTCCGTGGCAGGGTACACAACGGTGGTTTTTATCTCTGGAAACAAACACATCTGCTGAGTTATCACAGAATCGTACAAAATACCAGGTTGGAAGGGACCACAAGGATCACCCAGTCCAACCTCTCAGGGTAAAAGCAGAGTTTAAATGAGAGGAGTCAGCACCCTGGCAAGCTGAGTCCTAAAAGTGACCAATGTAGGGGAATTTACCACTTCCCCTGGGAGATAATCCCAGTATCTCATGGAGAGATTTATCCCAGTATCTCATGGACAGACTTATCCAATGTCTGATTGACCTCATGGTAAAGAAATCTCTTCTGGAGTTCAATGGGAATCTCTCCAAACCCCATTTGTGTCCATTGCCCCTCGTCTTTTCCCTGTGACTCCTTGTTCAAGGGAGTCTCCATCCTCTTGGTGCCACCCTTTATGCACTGGTACATGGTGACAAGGTCCCTGCTAAGCCTTTTCTTCCCAAGGCTGAACAGGCCCAGTTTTCTCAGCTTTTCCAGTCCTCTGAGCATCCTCGTCACCCTTTGGACCCTTTCAAACCTGTCCACGTCTCTTTTGGATAGCAGGGACCAAAATTGGACACAGTGCTCAAGGTCTGGTCTGACCAGTGCTGAGTAGAGAGGGCAACGACTTCTTTCTCTCTGCTGGTGATGTCCTTTCCAAGGCACCCCAGCATCCTGCTGGTTTCCTTGCACTGCAGCACTGCTCCTCATGTTGAGCTCCTCACCCACCAAGACCCGCAGGTCCCTTTCCACATAGAGTATGGTTCTCAATACTGGATGAGTAAGGCCAGGTGGAGCCAGTCTCAGCTGCACTCTTGGATGATGGATTCCCAGATGCAAGACCTTACATCTGTCTGTGTTGAACTTCACAAAGTTCCTCATAGCCCATTCGTCCAGGTCCTCCTGGGGGGTGGCTCTCCCTTTTGGAGTATCCCCTACCCCACTCCTTCTGGTGTCACCAGAGAGCTCCTGACCCCAACATCCAGGTCACTAATGAAGATACCAAATAGCATCAGGCCAAATATTGATCCCTGAGGGACTTGTGACCGGTTGCCAGACAGAGAATGAACCATTGACTACCACCCTCTGGGTATGGCCCATCAGCCAGGTCCCCACCACACAGACCACTGCTCTAGGGTGTAGCTGTAGTTTTTCAAGGAGGATACACACACACACACACACACGCTAGCCAGACACTGAACATAAGTATCTGTTTGCTCCCAAAGCCAAGATTTAGGACAGCTCTTTAAGTTTTCTGTTCATTTTAAGGTCACCGCTGCACAAGCCGGGGGACTCGGCCTCTTCGTTTCGTGCCAAACGCAGCTCAGTGAAGTCCAAAGGAAAACGCTGGCACCGCGGAATCCGGGAACGCAAACCACAAGGGCGGCCTTGGTCCGGTTCCCACCGTGCGCATGTTCCAACGCGGCTGTTTTCCAGGGCTCCGTCGGCGCAGTGTCACAGCAAAACACAAGAGAAGTTAAAATAAAGCTCCACCGCTCCTCCTCGCTTTAAAGGAGCGGCAAAGAGAAAAAGGCAAAAGATAAGAAAACACCACAGCAGGATGAGACTTCCCCCGATTTCTTTTTCTGCCTCAAAAGAAGGGCGAGGAGCACAGCAAAACCCCTCTCTGCGCTGGGGGTGCTGATAACTGCGATGCATGTGGGGTCCCAGGCAGGATGTGGGGTCCTAGAAAGGATGTGGGGTCCTAGAAAGGACGTGGGGCTGCAGGGGACCCTTTACAGCTTCTCCAAAGCCTCCCCAATTTGGGAGAGCCACTTTGGGTACTTTAATGCCTGAGATCAGAGAAACCCTTAACGTGCAGCTGTGGTGGGACACCATGGGGCACCCAAAACCTATCCCAGGCTGGAAATGGGGGTAAAGAACAGCGTGAAGTGGGTTTTGAAGGGTCAGGGTTTGTCTCTGCTCGTGTCTGAGTCACGGCGTCGGCCTTCTCCTAAAAACATGAGCAAAAGGAACAACCCGAGGTGCGAAAACCAAAACCGCAGCTAAATTTGGGGAAGCTGATGGGAAAAGCTTCCTGCATGACCGAATACTTTCCTTTCACGCTCTCATCTCTCCCCCTCGGGCTGCAGAGACAGAGCGGGGACAGTCCCCGATGCGCTCATTTCTGGATGCTTTTCATAAGGCTCAGCCCGCAGCGCAGGAACGAGCCGTGCCCGGTGAGGAAAGCAGCTTAAGCTGCCTCTTAGATCTATGCAACGTCCTGCAACCGGGCCTTAAAACGTAAGGTGCAGGTCCTGTGGCAGGAGGACACGCTCTTTGAGACTGCTCCTCTGAGGAAATCCACTCACAAAGTTTCTCCTCCTTCAGTCGGGCACTTTTGGGGCGCCCTTCAGACAAAATCTGGCCGTTATTAAGCTGGTTTGCAAGGGTTATTTCCCATTTTAGCCTGGCCACCTTTCTCCTAGCAGTCAAGAAATCCGATGAGCCAAGCAAGACACGGATGAGGGCCTCCTCCTCCCCTACAAAAATCCCGTTTTGAAGCTGCAGCAGAGGGAAATTCCTCTGCTTTCGGCCTCCAAGGCAGCCTCACAGGAAATTTCTCCCTCGTTTCAGGTTTATGAGCCGCATTCCTCACATCAGCTCCCTCCTCGGGTCGTGACTCAGCAAAAAGGGGCAATTTCCTTCCCCTCCCGATGTGCAAACCATTTCCTCTGGTGCCAGCCCAGCTACGCGCCAGCGGCTCGGGCAAAACGACCACAAAACCCAGCTTTTTGGCCCCAAATTGCTGCGAAGGAAGGAGCCTCCTCAGAGCTGGGGAGCGTGGGGGGAGCAGCGGGGTCCACAGCCCCCTCCTCATCTCCTGCACGGGACTGCCCAATGTCGAGAGCAACCACAGCAGCACCGAGAAGCAGCGACACATCAGCAGGCAATGTCTCTGCCAAAAAATTACCTTTAAAAGGTGATCAAAAGGTCACTTTCATTTGTCACTTTCTGCAGGAAAGCAGAGGCTTTTTACCTCATTCAAGCCTGCAAGAGGTGTGGCACAAATGCTCATGCGAAACCATAGGAGGTTTGGGGCAGCCATAGCCAAACTAAACAGGAACAACCTGAGTGAGGATTAAACTCAATAAACCGAAAGATAAACCAAAGAAGTGAGATGTAAGAAGACCCAGATTCACCTGGTTTTGCCCAAAAAAAAGCAGGACGTGGTGCAGCACTGACCCCTTAGCAGCCTCTTCACCCCACTGAGGGGTTCTGCACCTGGCGTAATTCTTAAATTCAATAAAATATTAAACTGGAGCAATGCTGGAGTCGCACAGCGCTGCAAGAGAGAGAAACAGCAGCACGGCCAGAGGGAGGCCCAGGGGACTTTAACCCAGCAATGCCACCTCGTGGGAATCACTGCGAGACGCCCGAGCTTTTGACACCTTCCCCCCAAAAGCGTCCCCAAAATCCGTGGCATCACAGCTGGCAGATGACACCGAGTTGGGAGGGAGTGTTG